CCCCCCCCAAGAGGTGCTGTTACGCCACACTGAACAACAAATAACGCCACAAAAAAGCGCCCAAACAATCCTTGCTCAGAGAGCATGTCAGCTGTCCAAGGCACAGTTCATGAAACAGTTTGTACTCTGCCACTGACTAACAGGTTTAACTTAATAGTGGTACCTTAGTGGTACCTATTTAAAGTAAAGGTTTCCCTTGCTCGAAAGCCAGTTGAATCCGACTCTAGGGATGCAGTGCTCATCTCCGTTTCCAAGCCGAAGAGCCAGCGCTGTCTGAAGACGTTTCTGTGGTCATGTGGCCAGCATGACTAAACGCTGAGGCACACGGAATGCTGTTACCTTCCCACCGAAGTGGTACCTATTTAAAGTAAAGGTGACGATTCCCTTGCTCAAAAGCTAGTCGAATCCGACTCTAGGGCTGTGGTGCTCATCTCCATTTCAAAGCCGAAGAGCCAGCGCTGTCCGAAGATGTTTCCGTGGTCATGTGGCCGGCATGACTAAACACCAAGGCGCACGGAACGCTGTTACCTTCCCACTGAAGCGGTCCCTATTTGTCTACTTGCAATTTCTTGCTTTCGAACTGCTAGGTTGGCAGGAGCTGGAACCAGAGACAGGAGCTCACTCCATCTTGCGGCACTCAGGTCTCGAACTGCTGAACTACCGGGCCTTCCAGCTTGCAGTTCACCATCTTAACCACTTGAGCCACCCTGCCCTTTTCCCCAGTGGGGACCCAGGCAGCTTTTCTCCTCTTCCAATTCACTCTCACAACTTCCCTGCGAGGTAGGCTGGGCTGAGAAAGTGTGACCGGCCCAAGCTCACCCACCAAGTGTTCGGGACAGAGTGGGAATTTGAACCTGAATCCCCCACATCTTAGGAAGACATCCTGACCCATATACCAAACTAACTTTGATAGAGAAGTTCTTAAACCCCCTTTTCAATTTGTAAAGGAAGAGATATTTTCCACTTTCTGAGTCTGTGCTGCCTCCAACATGTTCCACGAAGCTCTCACTTCCATTGTGCATAGCAAAGGGATTCCCCAGAGATAACCTGGGCCAAGACGTTCCAATTCCCTTTGTTTCGGGCACTGCAACTCCCACAATCCTCCAGAAATGAGGGGAACAGGAAAGGATACTTCTAGCTTTGATTTCTGACAAGTTATGCCTTCACAAAGAGACCTGCCATCTCCATTGCAAAGAGCAGGGTGTCTGTGAGAGGTTCCTTGAGATAACCTTTTGTTTTTATGGAGTGGAAATCCATCCCATTTGCCACCTCTGTAGCTCAAGGGACTTGCATACGTTCCCATAAGTACTGCCTACTACAAACAAACAACCACCATAAGAACATAAGAGAAACTCTGCTGGATCAGACCAATGGTCTATCTAGTCCAGCATTGTGTCTTAAGGAGATTGTGTCTTAAGGAGCGGCTTACAAACTCCTTTCCCTTCCCGTCCCCACAACAGACACCCTGTGAGGTGGGTGGGGCTGAGAGAACTCTGACACAAACTGCTCTTTTTCAAGGACAGCTCTTGTCAGAACTGTGGCTTGCCCAAGGTCATCCGGCAGCTGCAAGTGGAGGACTGGGAAATCAAACCCGGTTCTCCCGGATTAGAGTCCACGCACTAAACCACTACACCAGACTGGCTCCACTACACCAGACTAACATAGTGGCCAACCAGTTTCTCTGGATGGTCAACAACAGAACAAAGGCCGAGGCCTTCCCCAGATTTTGCCTCTTGGCCACTGGGATTCAGAGGCTGACTGCCTGTGAACATGGCGATTCCCTTGGGTCACAATGGCTAGTAGCCACTGATAAGACCTCTTCTCCATGTATCTATCCAATCTTCATTTAAAGCTGACTATTCATATGGCCTGTTGATACCGTCCATGGGGTTTTCTTGGCAAAAATACTGGAGTGGGTTGCCATTTCCTTCTCCAGGGGAGAAGTCCCTTGGACTGCAATCCTGACTCTGTCTTCTTCAGAATTAGCAATCCCACCCAGCTTCGTGTCATCTGCAAATTTGATGAGCATCCCCTCTATGTCTTCCTCCAGGTCATTTATAAAAACATTGAAGAACCTAGGACCGAGCCCTGCGGCACTCCACCCGAGACTTTCCTCCACGTAGAAGCAGAGCCATTTACGAGCACTCGTTGGGTACGATTTTTCAAACAACCATGAATCCTTCCAACGGTTGCACCATCCAGCCCAAATTTTACCAGCTTATCCTCAAGGATATCATGAGAAACTTTGTCAAATGCTTTACTGAAATCTAGATACACTATATCCACAGCACTGCCAGTGTCAACCATTTTGGTAACTCTGTCAAAAAAAGGAGATAAGGTTGGTCTGGCATGACTTATTCTTGATAAACCCATGCTGGCTACTACCAATTAACTCATTCCGTTCAAGGTGCTCACAGACAGAGCATTTAATAATCTGCTCTAGAATTTTCCCAGATATTGATGACAAGCTGACAGGCCCGAAGAAGAAGATATTGGATTTATACCCCGCCATTCACTACCCAAGGGAGTCTCAGAGTGGCTTACAAACTCCTTTCCCTTCCCCTCCCCACAACAGACACCCTGTGAGGTAGGTGGGGCTGAGAGTGACAGAAACTGCTCTTTTTCAAGAACAGCTCTTATCAGAACTACGGCTTGCCCAAGGTCATCCAGCCAGGTACAAGTGGAGGAGTGGGGAATCAAACCCGGTTCTCCCGGATTACAGTCCACGCACTCAACCACTACACCAAACTGGAGATATATAATAAGCTTAAATCTAGAGCTGGTCACAGGGTATTAAGTTGGAACACACGCAAAGGTTGAAGAATAACTATGAAGGGCTTTATTCACACAACCGGTGGAATCATAGAAGAAGAAGAAAACTACAAATGATAGAAAGTGGTCAGATAGAGGCATAGGGAAAGGTTACCACTTAAGACAACCTGAAAAAAGAAGCACGTGCAGAATAAGAGAATAAAGACCAGTGAATAAAAGAGCTCTGACAGAAACGGCTCTTTTTCAAGAACAGCTCTTATCAGAGCTACGGCTTGCCCAAGGTCATCCAGCCAAGTGCAAGTGGAGGAGTGGGGGGATCAAACCCAGTTCTCCCAGATTAGAGTCCACACACTTAACCACTACACCAAACTGGCTCTCAAAAGGATACCCATGTTTGTTCCAGTTAACAACAACCATGGAAGGAGGAGGAATGAACAAAACTTTTGTTGCACATCAGTTTGGCAGAAAGATACAAAGGACTTCTATGCGGTTAGCCACGAGGCATGTTCCTTTGGGATACCCATCTAAGTGCCCGTCTAGGTCCCCGAAAGGTTATCAAAGCCTCCCTCAATGCAAAGTCACCATTAAATTCTAAATTGAAACGAAACTTCCTGACACATCTGTGATATCTGGGTGCTCATTGCCTCATTTCCAAAAATACATATGCAAGAGAGGAAAACCACAACCCACTAAAAGTTTAAACTACAAAATGCTTTAGTTGAGGAAGGGCCTGGCTCAGTGGTAGAGCATCTGCTTGGCATGCAGAAAGTCCCAGGTTCAGTCCCTGGCATCTCCAGCTGAAAAGATCAGGTTGTAGGTGAAGTGAAAGACCTCCCTCTGCCTGAGACCATTGGAAGCCGCTGCCAGTCTGAGTTATAAGCAGGCCTGTAGCCAGGATTTTGTGGCTTGTGGGGCAACTTTTTTTCTGGGGGGGCTTAAGTTCTCAATGCAGTAAGAAAAGCCACTTAGCCAACAGAAACCTGTGACCAGGATAGATCTCTCAACTGCAAGCTGTCCACCACTTTAGATGGCAGTTCTCAGCTGCTGCAAGTTAATCGCTTCTGCCAGTCTAAACAACAACTCTGAGAACAAGCCAACAGGCGGGGGTGATGACTTGTCAAAAAAAGCTAACACTTAAGCAGAAAAACTCTCTTAAAGGAGACCAGTTTCTTGACACGGAGTTCGAAGGGATCCTAGAGGTCACCTACTCCAACCCCCTTGCTCACTGCGGGAATTAGTCAACTACAGCACCCCACTCTGCTTAAAGGAGCGCACATCCTTTAAAAAATGTTTTTAAATTATTGAAAGAAGCATGTCCAGGAGAAATTCTTGTGGGGCAATGCCTGTAAGAAAAGGGGCGTAGCACCCAAAAGCCCCACCGTAGCTATGGGCCTGGTTATAAGGCAGCTTTATGTGTCATGTGTGGCCAACCTGTAGAATCACCACGAACAATAATGTCATTTATGCACATTAAACATTTTTAAATGTGTGGGATTCACTATCCTGGAAATCCTCAGTTTGACAGGGGATATCAGCTCCAGTTAAAGCTCTTTTCACACTCAGAGTCCAGACACAGTTTCTCTCCTGTGTGATTTCCTTGATGAGAAACAAGGTTCTTGTTGTGACCATTATTTTATTACATGCCAATAAAGGTGACTGACTGACCATTATTTTATGTGTTTATTTAGAACATTTCAATGGCCCCGGTCATACGGGCTGGAAAATGGGGGGGGGGGGAGCGTGGCTGTTTGCCCCGGGGCAAAATAACGCGCAGTTGCGCGAGCAGACGTCCCGTGGAGGTCCTGTGGTTAGGGGGGAGGTGCTGATCACAGGACAATCCTGCAGCGCTGCAAAGAAGCAGGGCTGCGGGGCAAACGGGGTTGTGGGTTTTTTAAAAACTAAAGTGTGTGCATGCTCTGTTGGGTGCTTGTGCGCATCCGTGGAGACTTGGGGGAAAAAACCTTTTTGCGAGGGGACATGGGCGGGTGGCGGAACTACCACCGGAAACGCGATCAGAAGCCCGCCCATGCCCCGCGGTTTCCGGAAACTAGTACCTCGGAGGTACTAGTTTTTTACAGCGCATCTTCGGAGTGAAGCCTCGGGTAAGCCACGAAAGCTCTACGCTTCCCAGATGTGGCGGTGAGATCGCGCCTGGAAAATCCGCCTATCTTCCGTCTCTCTAGCATGCCTAATGCTCCGTGTGACCGCAGCCTAACTTTGGTTTCTACTCTGTGTGGATTCTTTGGTGGGAAGTAAGCGCAGAGCTGTGACGGAAGCTCTTTTCACACACTAGGCATGCATACGGCTTCTCCCCTGTGTGGATTTTTTGATGGGAATTCAGGTTCTCTCTCTTAGTGAAGCTTTTCCCACACTCCGAGCACTGATACGGTTTCTCTCCTGTGTGGATCCTCTGATGGATAACAAGGTCTGAACTCCGACAGAACCTCTTTTCGCACTCTGGACATGGATACGGTTTCTCTCCCGTGTGGATTCTTTGATGGATAACAAGGTCTGAACTCCGACTAAAGCTCTTTCCACACTCTGGACAAGTGAATGGTTTCTCCCCTGTGTGCATTCTCTGATGGATAACAAGGTCTGAGCTCTGACTGAAGGTCTTCCCGCACTCGGAGCACGTATACGGTTTCTTTCCCGTGTGCATTCTTTTATGGGAAGTAAGGCTGTTGCGGTGACTGAAGGTCTTCCCACAATCCCAGCATGTGTACGGTTTCTCCCCTGTGTGGATTCTCTGATGGATAGAAAGGTCCGAGCTCTGGCTGAAGCTCTTCCCACACTCGGTGCATACGTATGGTTTCTCCCCGGTGTGGATTCTTTGATGGGAAGTAAAGCTATTGCTGTGACTGAACCTCTTTCCACATTCCGAACACACGTATGGTTTCTCCCCTGTGTGGGTTCTGTAGTGTAAAGTAAGTGCTGATCTCTGACTGAAGCTCCTCTCACACACGGAGCATTTGTATGGTTTCTCCCCTGTGTGGATTCTTAGATGGGTCGCAAGGTCTGAGCTCCGACTGAAGCTCTTCTTACATTCTGTGCACGAATACGGCTTATCCCCGGTGTGGATTCTTTGATGGATAGCGAGGTCTGTGCTCCGACTGAAGCTCCTCCCACACTCTGCACACGTATACGGCTTCTCCCCAGTGTGGATTCTTTGATGAGAAGTGAGATTTGTGCTCTGGCTAAAGCTCATTCCACACTCTGAGCACTGATACGGTTTCTCCCCGGTGTGGATTCTGTGATGTGACGCCAAGTGCTCTCTCTGAGTGAAGCTCTTCCCACACTCTGAGCATTTATATGGTTTCTCCCCTGTATGGATTCTTTGATGCGAAGTGAGGTTTATGCTCTGACTGAAGCGCTTCCCACACTCTGAGCACTGGTATGGCTTCTCCCCTGTGTGGGTCCTTCGATGTGAAGTAAGGTGCTCTCTCTTGGTGAAGCTCTTTCCACATTCGGAGCATTTATATGGTTTCTCCCCTGCGTGTTTGATGGACTGTAAGGCATGTATTTGCATTGCATTGAAACTGTTTCCGCTCATGGAACATTTATGTGGGTCTTCCTCATTATCTATTCCATCGCATGTGCTAAGGCTTGAGTTACTACCTAAGAGTTCACCAGTCAGAACGGTCTCTCCAGGGTCAAGAGAAAGATTTCCTTTGTGACATTCCTCTTGGACTGGAATTTCATGCAAGTTGCCACCTTCCAAAGCAACACATTCCCTTCCTTTCTCCTGCTTTGCTGCTGTTCTTCCCTCCTCTTCACTATTTTTCTCACTCTCATTCCCTTCACCTACAGGAAGAAAGAGAGATACCTGATGAGGAAAAACAGAGCCCTGGACCAGGGAACAAATTCACCTGACTCAGTAGAAGCAGCATATACCCCATGCCTTAAAGAATCATTTTTTTGATTGGCTTTAGATGTCTGGCAATGGAATACAGTGTACAGGGTCTTGAGTCCCATTAGAACGTTAAGAGAAGCCATGTTGGATCAGGCCAATGGCACATCCAGTCCAACACTCTTTGACATACAGCGGCCAAAACCCAGGAATTATGAATACCAGGTAAAAGGTAAAGGTAAAGGTTCCTTTGCTCGAAAGCCAGTCGAATCTGACTCTAGGGTTGCGGTGCTCATCTCCGTTTCCAAGCCGAAGAGCCAGCGCTGTCTGAAGACGTTTCCGTGGTCATGTGGCCAGCATGACTAAACACCAAGGCGCAGGGAACGCTGTTACCTTCCCACCAAAGCGGTACCTATTTATCTACTTGCAATTTCTTACTTTCGAACTGCTAGGTTGGCAGGAGCTGGAACTAGAGACGGGAGCTCACTCCATCTTGCGGCACACTCGGGTCTCGAACTGCTGAACTACCGACCTTCCACAGCCTGCAATTCAGCATCTTAACCACTTGAGCCACCGCAGCTCCTGAATACCAGGACAGCTAGGGAAAAGCTCCACCTAAGACCCTGGAATTTATTTCTTTAAAAATCTCTCTCCCAGTTTATATCCTCAAACTCAAGGCAGCTAAAAATTTAGCAACCAGGCTTTAAGGACACAAATAACCAACAGTCCAATTTAACAAGACACACAAGGATTTGAGACACATGGGATTCACAAACAGAAAGGGGAAGAACAAACACAGCCAGATCTGCTGAAAGAATTCTCCCTCCGCCAAATGTTCTCTGGAATACGACTGCCTTGCATGCTCTCCTAAATGTAACATGCCAAGGTTTCCCCCTCACCCGCTCAGGTAGCCTATTCTGGAGGAGCGGATCCACCACCGAAAAGGCCCATGACATTGCTGTGGCTGAAGGGACTGTCCTACAGGAGGGCACTTTAAGAAAGAGGGTATCTAAGGAACGCAAGGTAGTTTCAGGAAGCCAGCTGTGTTGGTCTGCATTACAGAAATTACTTTGGAGTCCAGTAGGGCATAAACAAGGAGCTGCGGTGGCTCAAGTGGTTAAGACGCTGAACTGCAGGCTGTGGAGACCAGAGTGCGCCGCATGACGGAGTGAGCTCCCGTCTTTAGTTCCAGCTCCTGCCAACCTAGCAGTTCGAAAGCAAGAAATTGCAAGTAGCTAAATAGGTACCACTTCAGTGGGAAGGGAACAGCGTTCCGTGCGCCTCAGTGTTCAGTCATGCCGGCCACATGACCACGGAAACGTCTTTGGACAGCGCGGGCTCTTCGGCTTGGAAACGGAGATGAGCACCGCAACCCTAGAGTCGGACTCGACTGGCTTTTGAGCAAGGTAACCTTTACCTTTAGGGTATAAACATTTGAGAGTCCAAGCTGGTTTTGTGAGGAGGAACTGTCTAACGAACCAAGTGGTTCCTCAGGGGGGCATACTGGAAGATGGGACTCCGTAAGTATGAATTCCCCAGGCTGCAAAGGACTTTAAAGGTCATAGTCAGCACTGGAAGCAAATATGTGGCCCTCATAGTTGATGTATCACTAGAGTTAAGAGTTCAAAGTGGCTGACCCCAGAGAGGACTACGGCAGCTCCATTTTGTACCAATTACAGTTTCAGAAATATTTCCAAAGGCAGTCCCATCGAGAGGATGTTACAGTAGTCTAACCTGGTGTTTCTGAGAACATGGATGGGTACAGCTAGGTCTGAGGGGTCTGGTGAAGGGATAAGTTTGAAAGAAGAAGGCCAGACTCAGGCGTATTCCCAAATTCTTAACTTGATCTGCTATGGAAAGAGTAATCCCATCTAAATCTTACACACACACACACACACACACAGACGACATCTAAGTATTTTACCATTTAAAGGGACACAAAATGAAAAGGGTTAAAGGGAAAACTGAGAAACATAAAACATTATTTGTTAAACACATTTTAAGGACACTGCATAATATAAGAATATGAAACGTGAAAAAGTACCGTAACAAATCAAAATATGGTAAAATAATCAATACTTTAACATCATATATTTCCATGTATATTTCCATTATTTCTATAGGGCTAGGTAGGAAAACACAGAAGAAGAAGAGGAGGAAGAGGAAGAAGCGGAGGAAGAGGAAGAAGAGGATAAAGAGGAAGAGGAGGAGGAGGAAGAGGAGGAGGAGGGATTTATACCCCGCAATTCACTTGGAGTCTCAGAGTGGCTTACAAACTCCTTTCCCTTCCCCTCCCCACAACAGACACCCTGGGAGGTAGAAGAAGAAGAGAAGAAGAGACTGGATTTATACCCCCGGCCTTCACCACCCAAAGGTGTCTCAGAGCGGCTTACACTTCCTTTCCCTTCCCCTCCCCACAACAGACACCCTGTGAAGTAGAAGAAGAAGAAGAGATTGGATTCATACCCCGCCCTTCACTACCCAAGGGAGTCCCAGAGCGGCTTACAAACTCCTTTCCCTTCCCCTCCCCACAACAGACAACCTGTGAGGTAGAAGAAGAAGAGGAGACTGGATTTATACCCCGCCCTTCACTACCCAAAGGAGTCTCAGAGTGCCTTACAGACTCCTTTCCCTTCCCCTCCCCACAACAGACACCCTGTGAGGTAGAAGATGAAGAAGAGAAGAGATTGGATTTATACCCCGCCCTTCACTACCCAAGGGAGTCATAGAGCGGCTTACAAACTCCTTTCCCTTCCCCTCCCCAAAACAGACACCCTGTGAGGTAGAAGAAGAAGAGATTGGATTTATACCCAGCCCTTCACTACCCAAAGGTGTCTCAGAGCGGCTTACAAACTCCTTTCCCTTCCCCTCCCCACAACAGACACCCTATGAGGTAGAAGAAGAAGAGAAGAGGAGACTGGATTTATACCCCGCCCTTCACTACCCAAAGGTGTCCAGAGTGACTTACATACTCCTTTCCCTTCCCCTCCCCAAAACAGACACCCTGGGAGGTAGAAGAAGAAGAGAAGAAGGGACTGGATTTATACCCCCACCCTTCACTACCCAAAGGTGTCTCAGAGCGGCTTACAAACTCCTTTCCCTTCCCCTCCCCACAACAGACACCCTGGGAGGTAGAAGAAGAAGAGACTGGATTTATACCCTCGCCCTTCACTACCCAAAGGTGTCTCAGAGTGGTTTACAGACTCCTTTCCCTTCCCCTCCCCACAACAGACACCCTGTGAGGTAGAAGAAGAGATTGGATTTATACCCCGCCCTTCACTACCCAAAGGAGTCTCAGAGTGGCTTACAGACTCCTTTC